CTCCTCCTCCTCCTGTCAATCTTGCAGATTAGGGAGAGAGTTCCTTGGTCTTGACATCCTTTCTCAAGGTCTTCCTGACCTGCTTCATTTCTCCTTTTGAAGTCTCAGCTTGCATTTCTGATCTCCTGGCAGCATTTGACGTCTGAATTTTGTGTTTTTCTTGGTAGGAATGTTTCTGACAACGCTATGCTCCAGTTGAAGCCGTTCGTCTACTGGACCTTCTTGGGCCTTTTCAACGGTTGTGTCTTTTTTTTTGGTGCTTACTTCCTTTTTCAAAATGCCTCTATAGAAGACAATGGAAAGGTGAGGCCCAAAAGACCGAATTCTTTGCAATAGAGACTGGGGTGTGGTTGGTATGTGTGTTTGTATATGGCAACAAAGGCCATAATGTGACCTCCGTCTCTTCGATGCTTCTCTAAAGGAATAAGCCACCCAGTCAATGATCCTTGGGGCTATATCTTATTTTAAAATGTGTTTATTTTAACCTGTATTTCTTTTAACAGGTACCATTGTCATCAAGACAGTATCTAGCAGTATTTTCTTAATTGCAAATTTTGTCAATATGTTTTTCAGATGGCAGGACTCTGGACATTTGGAACAATGATTTTCACTGTCTTGGTCTTCACAGTCACACTAAAGGTTAGCGTTGTTGTTGTTGTTATTAAAAATACTCACCTTTGACAGGCTGGATCTGATATCATAGATCTTGGTGAGATTACATTCTTGCCCTGATCTCAGTGATGCCCATCCTTAAGGCCAACTAGATCAGGGGTCGCCAACCTTTTGGACCTCAGGGACCACCAAACTCATCATTTTAAATCCCGCGGACCAGAGACCCTGGGAAAATACCCCAAAAAGTCTGCAGAAAAATCCCCCACCCCATTTTCTACCGATCGATCGTTCTTTATTTGGGATCACAGGATACTGTCTCCAGCTCTGTTCTCAGGGGGAGAGAGAGAGAGAGAGAGAGACTTTTGGCTTCATGCAAGGAAAGCAGCAGAAGCCGCAGAAGTCTTACTTTCTCTCCACCAAACTCCACCAGAAATGAGTCTTTGCAGGCACAGCTTCTTGGAGCAGGAGGCCTTGCAGGGTCCCAAAGACTCATTTCTGGAGGAGTTTGGGGGAGAGAAAGAAAGACTTTTGCTGCTTTCCTTGCGTGCAGCCAAAAGCAGAAAAAGAAAGAAGTGGAAAGAAGCAGGTCAGTGGCCAGGCCAGGCGTGTGGGGCGAGTGGGGCAAGTTCTCCCCCCACCCCGCCCTTCCCCCCCTCCCCTCACTACCTCATGTTGTTCACAATGCAAGTGACGCAAGCCTTGTATTCCTGCAGGCCATGTGGGCGGTGCAGCCTTGTGTTCCCACGCAACCTGGATTAATTGCTTTGGGGATGACATTTCTCTGTGGACCACCAAAATTTTCTCGTGGACCAACAGTGGTCCCCGGCCCACTGGTTGGAGACCACTGGACTAGATGACAGGAATGGCCAACTCTTGATGGGTCCAGACTAGGAGTATTGGTGGTTTTCATTAGGATCAATAAAAACCAATGCAATATGAATTTAAGGTAGGAATGAGGGGCTGCCCCAAACAAGAGGGAGTCCAGCTATTCTCCAAAGCCCCTGAAGGTAAGTCAAGAAGCAACGCGTGGAAACTAATCAAGGAGAGAAGCAACTTAAAACTAAGGATAAATTTCCTGATAGTTAGAACAATTAATCAGCGGAACTCCTTGCCTCCAGAAGTTGTAAATGCTCCAACACTGGAAGTTTTAAAGAAGAGATTGGGCAACCATTTGTCTGAAGTGGTGTAGGGTATCCTGCCGAAGCAGGGGGTTGGACTAGAAGACCTCCAAGGTCCCTTCCAACTCTGTTAGTCTGTTCTAATGTTGAATTTTTCATTTCTGTCTTTTTTTCCCTAGCTGGCATTAGACACTCGGTTCTGGACATGGATGAACCACTTTGTCATCTGGGGGTCGCTGATTTTCTACGTCTTTTTCTCCTTCTTCTGGGGAGGCTTCATTTGGTAAGCATGCCGTCACGGTTTCCCCAGCCCAAAGTGGCCCCATCCGTCAACTCCTCTGCAGAGCCCCAACCTTTAAGCCAAAGTCAGTTTGAAACGGATGGGCGCCCCGACTTCAATATGCATAAGCTATCAGTGGGGTTGAGATGGAAATGGTGGAGGTGACTGTTCTTCTTTCCTCCTCCAAAATGATCCCCCCAAATTGAAACCCACACACCTCCATCTCTGGCTTCAGAGGTGACTGTCTTAGAGGGCTATGGGAATGTGTTGTCTTTATGGGGAGAAAAACATCCCAACCAGACGAGCAAATTCTACCTTAATGTATGTTCCCACCAGTGGTGGGATTCAAATTTTTTCACTAGCAGTTCTGTGGGCATGGCTTGGTGGGCGTGGCAGGGGAAGGATAACGCAAAATCCTCATTCCCTCCGGACCCCACTAGCCTGCTTTCCAGCTCCGTTCTCCTGTGCAGGGCAACCAAAGAAGACCCAGCCGATCAGCTGGGACTCGATGGGAGGCAGAGGATAGATGGGGCCAGTCAGAGTTGGAATTTGCAGGTTCTCCGAACTACTCAACATTTCCACTACCAGTTTTCCAGAACTGGTCTGAGTCTGCTGAATACCACCTCTGGTTCCCACTGCCTTATTTACAGCCTGAGAAACTAGGGAGGGTCTCTCCTGAGCTTTCCCCCCCCCCTACCCACTTGACAGCTGCAGGCTATTCTGCCTCTTATCTGACCTTGTAGGGCGAACCCAACAGGAATCCTCCCAAGCAGCTGAGCAAATTCTCCTTTAACGTAAAGTGACATGGACCGAAACATTCAATTCTCCTTGCGTCTCTTTTACAGCCTGAGAAACTAGGGAGGGTCTCTTCTCGCCCTACCAGCTCTACAGCTGCAGGCTATGCTGTGTCTTCTCTGACCATTCCCTTGGGCCGAGTCTCTTGGCCCAGTCTCCCAAGGTCTTCCCCACATACCTTTGCAGAAGGGGATGAGTTAATTCAGGATAGGGCAGATGGGCCTGGAATCTTGATCCTCGCATGATGGACTTGTAATTGTCGTAATCACCACAACTGATACAAACCTGTTTGGCTCAGATGCAGAATTAATGCACATGTCTCTCTCTCTCTCTCTCTGTCTCTCTGTCTCTCTGTCTCTCTCTCTCTCTCTCTCTCTCTCTCTCTGTCTCTCCCTCCCTCCCTCCCTCCCTCCCACTCTCTGTTCCTCCCTTCTCTCTCCCTTTCTCTCTCTCTCCTTCCCTCCCGCCTCTCTTTCTGCCTGTTCCCCCTCTTTCTCTGCCTCCCTTTCTCTCTCTCTCTCCCTCCTCTCTCCATCTCCCTCCCTTTCTCCCTCTCCCCTCCCTCCCTCTTTCTCCCTCTCCCCTCTCTCCCTTCCTCCCTCCCTCTCTTTCTCTCTCTCCCTTCTCTCTCTCCCTCCTCTCTTCATCTCTCTCTCTTTCTCCCTTTCCCCCTCTCTCTCCCTCCTCTCTTCATCTTTCTCTCTCCTTCCCTTTCTCCGTCTCTCTCTCCTTCCCTCTCTTTCTCCCTCCCTCCTCTCCCCCTCCCTCTCTTTTTCCCCTCTCTCCCTCTCTCTTCCTCCCTCTCTATCTCTTCCTCTCCTTCTCTCCTTCTCTCTCTCTCTCTCTCTCTCCCTCTCTCTTCCTCCCTCTCTATCTCTTCCTCTCCTTCTCTCCTTCTCTCTCTCTCTCTCTCTCTCCCTCTCTCTTCCTCCCTCTCTATCTCTTCCTCTCCTTCTCTCCTTCTCTCTCTCTCTCTCTCTCTCCCTCTCTCTTCCTCCCTCTCTATCTCTTCCTCTCCTTCTCTCTCTCTCTCTCTCT